AAGTTTTCTTTTCAGGGGTACGATTTTCCCGCCACGTTCCATGTTGCCATGGCTATCCGGACGAAAACGTCACGTACGCAACGTTTTGGGTGTAGTGTGAATGGCCCATCTTTACTTATAAAGAAGAGGCACCTGTGACGTGTGTCTGTGTGTGTGTCACGCTCCTTATAAAGAAGAGGCACCTGTGACGTGTGTTTTTGTGTCACGCTGAAGCGCTGCGGAGCAGCGCTGCCCTGAGCACGCGAAGCGTGCGAACATGTGTAGCACAGTGTAGCTAGCGGCCGCAGAAGCACTGAGCACGCGAAGCGTGCGAATCGTGTAGCTAGCGGAAGCAGCCACAGAAGCACTGAGCACGCGAAGCGTGCGAATCGTGTAGCCACCACCACGTGCTGAGCACGCGAAGCGTGCGAACAGTGTAGGTGGTAGCAGACACGATCAGTTCGAGTAGCAGTAGCAGCCGCGCGCAGAAGCACTGAGCACGCGAAGCTTGCGAATCATGTAGCCACCTATCTAGCCTAGGCCATAGGTACTAGGTAGCACTAGCAGCCGCACAAGCGCTGCGGACCACGTGAACCGTTCTCTGCAAATAGAAACATCTGCAACAAAAGGATACAAAAGATCTGCACTGACTGCACTCTGCATCTGATCTGCAGTGAAGAGCGCATCGCACTTTTGTTCGTAATTTTATGAATTTTTTGAGCCGCTTCATCCGCCACCATGTACCAGGTGATGGACAACCCTGACCAGCCTCCCGAAGGCGTAACAGACGTCCCTCCTTCTCCTTCCAACGATGAAGAACCTCCCTCAAGCTCACCAGGACTTCAGCGGTCTGGCCACCACCACGTGCTGAGCACGTGTGCTGTTCATGTACTTGCTTCACCCGCATGCATGCCACATTCGGCCAGGCAACGCTGGCCGGGGGTGCTGCTAGTTATAGTGATAAAATGCTCAAAATCAAACACCAATGCTATAGGCAATACTGACTGTACTGTGAAACCGGGAATATTCGGTGGTGTAATATTTTCGGTGTTTCCCAAAATCAACGGTTTGGTACCGCAAATATTTCGGTAGACAAGTCGAGTCCGGATAATAAGAGTCAGGGTCCTTGCTATGCTTTTTTGCCTAGGTCATCATGCATGTTATTCAAACAGATGGAAACGTGTTTGCAATACAATGATGTAGCCGATGATCGTATCGCAAAAACGTTCATCATGCATGCATGATGACCTAGGCAAAATAGCATAGCGAGGGCCCTGAGCTTTCAAGCTCTCTCGTTATTATTAGAAACTACTTCCTCCGTCCAAGCAAAATTTTCTACCAAGTTGTTTCACGTTGTGATTCTGCAGTTGAAATCCCTATTTCAACATGTGGCCAGCAGTCTTTGGCGGCACGGTACGTGACATGTTCGGGATAGGGCCAGCCATTGTGACGTTTCCACCTGTCTCTGTCTTCGAGTTCGAGAAAAGCAAACAAACTGAGCATTAGCTATCACAATTTACGTTTTCCTCTCTGTTTTTTTCTCACAAAGCCAGCATGCTATGGAATTGTCTACCGCCATCTCTCACATATATGACCTGTCTCCCGAATTTAAACATTCCCCATCCAGTATTTTCGAAGATACAAGTGCTACACTGATGACATACCAACACTTTGACTGGCGCAAACAATTGTTGTGTCTGCTTCTTTTCTTTTTCTTTCTTTCTTTGTTTTCTTTCTGTGTACTCTTTCCCGAATCATGAAATTTATCCAAGTAGGAAATCCCCTCGACAGGCCTAGAGTCTCTGGGTAATCATTGAAATACAATAAATACAAATACAAAAATACGTGATGACAGCCCTACGCCGACGGACCGCAGTCACCGCACACCGAACAAGTTCGGGCATGATAACGTCTTTTCTCCTGCCTACTGGAACCCTGTTCCGCAGTCTCTTGCTGTCGATGCATCTTGTCACAAAGTCGGCGAGTCTCCAAACGACGGGTATTTGGTTCGTCGTTTCTTGATGTCGGCATAGCCTTTCGCAAGCAAGGCTACTCTCGAGGCGGTGGAACCTCTCTTCTCCCGGCTTCTACCCTCGGTGTAGGCACTCCTGCAGACGCCGTCTGCTCAGAGCTTCAACACTGTCACCCCCGTCATATTTCTTTTCCCCATAGTCCTCTGTTAATGATCAGCATTCTATTTATACAACAACAGCGTCGATTAAAACATTGCAATTTACCCGATCCGTACATTCCCGGCCCATTAGCAGAACACCCCTACACATTCGAACGATAATGCGACACCGTCTAAAGTCTTTATAAATTCTATTAATACAACCGCGCTGATGAAAAAACTGCGCTCTACCCGATCCTTACATTCCTGGCCCATTAGCAGCACACCCCTAAATGTTCGAACGATAATGTGACACCGTCTAAGGTCTCAATAAATCAAACCGCGACCATTACAATACTGCGATCTAAACCATACCGCTAATTTTTAGACGCACAATGCGACAAAGTCACAAATCCACAAATATCGACAGCAGTTTAGTTAGCTAGCCACTTACCGGTATATCTTTTACTTCACTTTGCACTTTTTCAGACAGACCGTTGTGGTTCTGTCGCGGCCCTGCCAGTGCATAAATGGCAGCAGCTCTCGAGTCATCCATGATCCTGATAAGGGCAAAAAGGGCAACGGAATGCTATTATAATTAAAAGAAATGATCAAAACTGATCCCTGACTGATGCTTTTAATTTTGAAGTTCTCCCAATCCTCAGTTGTGCAGTGAGTACTCAGATGGTGACCCTAGGAAATATGAAATGGAAACAAGGAAAACGTGGGGCACAAGTAATGCGTTTCCAAGATGGAAGGCCGTTGGTTAGCGTTATCGAGCAGTGCTCAAGCTCACTTCCTTGCCGTGAAATGTCTCAGTACTCCTTGCCAGTCTGGTGCTACCTTGTACATGTATGACTGTTTAAAACTTGGTTTACTTGGTGGACTCTAACGCATAACTTGTGCCCCACTGGTTTCCATGGTTCCATTTAATATTCTCCCAATCCTATAAAATTTAATCACTTTCTTTCACCTCTGGTAGTCCTTCCTCCGTTAAGCAAAACTTCATTGCATTCGTACAGTTCAGTCCAAATCATTCTATGGCTACAAACACGCTTTGCAAAGTGGAAAACAAGCAGCACCTGAGAGATATTTATTTACAGATGTCACACAGCCCGTTTCAAAGCAGTCCAGCTTCACTATTTGTCTGAATCTGATGACTACTCACTCCCTGATGACATCGAGTCAGCATTCCCGCTGACTCCAGCGCTGCCAGCTATTTTTCCGCAGCCGTCACAAGTTGCCAAGACACGATTTGATCGTGGAGATGGCCAAGTTCTTCACTCGAACCACATGTGGGCTTGACAACCTCCACGGTGGCGCTGGTAGTTGTAGCCACTCTCCAGAATGCCATAGAAGAAGCCATACAGACCCAACCAAACGGTCCTCATCTTCGCAGCGGTGTACTCATGCCAGCACGTTTCCACAGCCTGCAGAAGCTCCTTTCTGGTTTCCTTCGCCACAAGTGACATGTCTGTCTCAGGGCCGGAGGCAGCTTCCACAGAGCGGTGCGGCCGCAGGGCCATCTTTAAGGGGGGGGGGGGGGTGGGGGTCCTCCCCCAGAATTTTTTTGGAATTTAGACCGCAAATCCTGCACTCTGGGCGGCTCCCTGTACAAAATCATGCATCGAAACATTTTCTCCCCGGTTTTTGGACGTTCCACGGCCACGTGGACCGACTTTTCGGGATTTTTTTTTTTTGGTACGGCCATGGCCGTACCGGCCGTACCAGTGGCACCGGCCCTGCGTCTACAGGCTGTGGAAGAACGCCAAGTCGTCGGCGTTGAGATCAGGGCTTTGCGCCGACTGAACGACAGCCTGAATGTCGAACACTTTTGATTTCCCCTGCGCTGCAAACACAAGTGGATTGAATTTGTCTGTGCGGATGCGCACCATTGACTCGTGGCTGAGCGCTGGCAGGCTTCTGGGCACTTCTTCGAGCCACGCGGTCTTGCATACTGTTTCTCATTATTGCACTTTGGTGTCATGTGCGCGTGCCTGGGGTTTTGTTCTCGTGACAGGATCGAGAAACGGTTCTGGTTTGCCGATATTTTGGAAGTACTCCACGTTTTTCGGAGGGTCAGAACAATGGACAACAACTCGGCTACCCTATGTAGGGGATAGATCACTGACATGTATGTCTAATGCTGACAGAAAATATCATGACAGGAACACTAAAAGCGCAACGAAGGTTTGCTTAACAGAGGAAGTACGTTCCAGAAACTGACTGCGGTTGGTCCCCTGGGGGAGGGAAAAGGAGTCTAGAGGTGAAACGATTATACCGAATACTCGAAATAGAAATCGTTACAAGCTAACGAATCGATTATTCGAAAAGTTTCGATAACTCGACTATGCATACAGTATACATGATTATACACATGTGATTGTAGATCGACCGAGGTGCGAGAAAAATTCTCTTCTTAGATCTACCATGCATGGTGCACCATGCAATGCGTACATTTACATGTACTAGCACTGTGCAACGCGGTCGCGGGTGGGTGGTCGGCGAGCTGTTTTGAATGTGAATGCGTCTGTGACAAGGAAAAGTGGTCGCCATGGTCGAGTGGTCACTATATCCAAGTGGTCGCCATTACAGGCTTTACTGTATGCAAAATGTCACTAAAAGCGCCGTGTTTTGTTCTCAAAAGCATGGATGACTGCGATTAGCCAACATGTTGTAGTCTTTGGCCCTAGTTTGGGATGCTGAGTCGACTGCTTTGGTCCGAAAAAAGGCTGCGATGCAGCTTTCGGCCCTTATTCCCAATCAAACCCGGTTGAGTAAGCGGTCACGTGCTCGCGCGTACACCAGTCGCCTGGTCACCGTGCCTGCAGGCTTCAACTTTGACACCAAGGTTCAACTCAAAGGTTCACAGGTTATACTCAAGTGACAAGAACGTTGTAAAAGTTGTAGCCTGCGGGCACGGTGACCAGGTGACTGGTGTACGCTGTAAAAGTTGTAGCCTGCGGGCACGGTGACCAGGTGACTGGTGTACGCTGTAAAAGTTGTAGCCTGCGGGCACGGTGACCAGGTGACTGGTGTACGCTGTAAAAGTTGTAGCCTGCGGGCACGGTGACCAGGTGACTGGTGTACGCTGTAAAAGTTGTAGCCTGCGGGCACGGTGACCAGGTGACTGGTGTACGCTTGGGCACGTGACCGCTTACTCACTCGCGTACAATCAAAATGGCCAAACGCTGCATCGCAGCCTTTTCGGACCAAAACCAGTCGACTCAGTGTCCAAAAGACTACAACATATGGAGCAATCGCGGTTATCAGCGCTTTTATAAGAACGAAATGGCACTTTCAGTGACATTTCGCATACAAATCCCCATCTATAGTCCATTTCAAAAACATCGACAATCAGGTTTTGGTCTTAAAGGGGAAGTTAAGGCAAAAATTAAAATTTCACCAGTTGTAGTCTTCGGGGTGCTGAGTCGAATGGTCTCGGTCCGAGAAAGCTGAGACGCTCCCTTCCTACTTGAATCCCAATCGAACTCGCGCACTTCCACCGAAACTGGGTGACTGCGCCCTACTAGATGGGGATTTGTATGCAAAATGTCACTAAAAGCGCTGTTTCGCTCTTATAAAAGCACGGATGACCGCGATTGGCCCATATGTTGTAGTCTTTTGGACGCTGAGTCGACTGGTTTTGGTCCGAAAAGGCTGCGATGCAGCGTTCCTCCTTTATTCCCAATCGAACATGGTTGAACAAGTGGTCACGTGCTCCTGGGTGCCCAAATCACCTGGTCACCACGCCAGCAGGCGACAACTTTCACACCAAGGTTCAACTCGAGGTCAACTCGAGTGACAGGACTGCACCCAAAAAAGGTCAAACAGGCTAGTAAGTTGTACCCTGCAGGCACGGTGACCAGCTGACTGGTGTACGCAGGAGCACGTGACCGCTTGTTCAACCATGTTCGATTGGGAATAAAGGAGGAACGCTGCATCGCAGCCTTTTCGGACCAAAACCAGTCGACGCAGCGTCCAAAAGACTACAACATATGGGCCAATCGCGGTCATCCGTGCTTTTATAAGAACGAAACGGCGCTTTTAGTGACATTTTGCATACAAATCCCCATCTAGTAGGGCGCAGTCACCCAGTTTCGGTGGAAGTGCGCGAGTTCGATTGGGATTCAAGTAGGAAGGGAGCGTCTCAGCTTTCTCGGACCAAGACCATTCGACTCAGCACCCCGAAGACTACAACTGGTGAAATTTTAATTTTTGCCTTAACTTCCCTTTTAAAAAGTATGAAGATAGGGGGAAATCGTCGGCGACGTCTTCTATCAGCTTCCATAGGCGTCTGCTTTTCTCAAAATGTCGCGGAAGTCACACGGATCGATGGCTTTGCCAAGTCATGGCCTGAAGAATGAGTCCGTGTCGTTTTCGTCACACGGTGAGAATAACTTGCATCGCAGGGACGCAGCTCAAAGAAACTATTTGGTCACAAAACAAATCGGGACTCATGCCGCCCTTCAACATTTAGCACGGTTTCGACTCGCTGGAGCCCCCTCGCGACAAAAGGGTCACTTTGGCTTCCGTGACACTTTGGAGAAAATCGCGTACAAAGTTTCAAGTGGGGAAAATCCCGTTTTTTGAGAGTGCGTCATCATTTTTGTGTTCCAACGCGGAGCTGTTGCACAACATCGATTTTATGTCACCGTTTGCGCATGCGCCTTGGTGACACCTTCACGCAGCAGTTTATTTGAGCAAAATCCGTCAAGGGATCTCTGTTTTATTGTTGTTTGTAGTTGAGGAAGAAGTTTGATTTTTTGACGTGGCGTGGTTCGCGAGCGCTGTCAGCTGTTTCTTGATGTCGACTTGTTGTTTGCCTGTTGTTGACGAACAATGAGCCGTCCAATCTATTTTACGACTGATGAGGCGCTTGCCGCTGTCCTCGCTGAAGCTGAAGACGAATTCTGTGGACGAGAAGGCGAACAGGCGCACGCCAGCGCCCCTGCCACGGAGAATGTTGTTTCTTCGGATGACGAGGAGAGCGAAGGCATCCCTGATCACTTCTTGGATGATGAACTGGACATAGCTCGTGCTGCTGCGCAGTTCAACGCTTTGGCCGCTGACGATGTAGATGAGGCAATGGCGGAGGACGCAACAGAGGCTGTTGATGAGGAAGGCACTGATGCACATGAAGATGTTGAGGCTGCTACTGCTGCTGAAAATCCTGGCAATGTGTGTGGCTGGTTGATAAATATGGTGGTAAAGACACACCTGGCAATATGGCGGTAAACACACGCCTGCCCACACACGCTCTCTAGGCTGCAAAGTTCTGGCACAGAGCTCTCCTTCTCACCACCACCACCATCAGTTCGCGCCTGGCGCCTGGTCGATGCATGGTTGGCGGTGTCCGGCATAGCAGGCTGGTACATCAAGTAGTGCATGGCACATAGCAGATGACACAGCAACGACATAGCTCGATTGCGACGTACGTTTCGTCCCCGCTGGACTCATCAGGCAATCTTCTTCTTGGATGTCTTCACACGGAGCTTGACTCGGGAGAATGAATTTGAAGACACCACTGCAGCTGTACTTATGGTTGATAAATATGGTG